CATACAGTCTCTCACTTCCGCCAATAAGGATCAATGATTTTGATGACATCACTCTGCACTTCAGCTTCTCATCTGATATTCTGTCCAATCAAATGCTCTCTAGAATCTGAAGCTCCGCCCCTACATTATAAACAGAAGCCGAAGCTGCGGCTGAAATCGGTCACTTGTTCACACGTTTACTATTTTCTACATGCTGAATGTTCATAGTGCACTATATAGGGGATAGGGAACGATTCAGACTGTGTAAATAATCTTTCCAGTGGGGCGAATGAAGTCTGGTTTCACGTTAGTGTCACGCGAACCGCCGCAGCTCCGGTCCAGAGACACGAAACACACAGCGGATCATGTGATGGAGTCGCCGCAGATCCAGAAAACGAATCAGACCCGTTTGAATTCTGCACACAATACTGTATTTTAAAGTGATATGGAGGAGATTAGGAGGAGAAACGGTTAGAGATTAGGAGGAAACTGCAGCTTTCCCAGAGCTCAACGGCTCTGGCTTAGCTGTGATAGAAACTCAACGCTATTGGCTATTTAAAAAGGGGGAGGAGCTGTTCGATATGCCCCGCCCCTTCTTCCTGTTTCAGTGGTAATTACATCAACACATTAAACCTTCAGTGGGCCTTAAAACACATTCCTGCGTGTTTAATTACTTTTCAAGTCTTGTCAATAGTAGTTAATGTAAAACAGGTTACAGTAACGACTAACCTGCCAACTGCATGCGAAACACAATCACGTTTTTTCCTCATTAAATATCCGGTTTCATGCACATATCTGTCAAACGTAGGGCTCTGCGTGTGTCTAGCATGATATTACTGTCAGTGAAGGTCACATTCAGAGCTGCACATCATATCCTCTGATTTGGCTGATACTAAACAAATCATATTCAGTGTGTTAAGTCTATCTATGGCAGGTTTCAGAAGTCTGAAAGCTTGTTTTGATGCCTGATTTCTCTTGATTCACGTTACATTCTGCACTGGATCTTAGTTTAAACAGTATTTCACAGTGGCAAATCAGACTATAGAGCCATATAACAGTGTCTGTGATGAGAGTCTGTATCTGGCAGGCAGCTTGTGACGGCAGGTTTTCATTGGTTGCATTCCTGGGTAGATGAGCTTGTTATTGGCTGTTAGGGCTCAGGGGGCGGAGCTTAGAGGACTGTTCAATGCTGCAGGGTTCTTACAGATACATAAAATGAACAATTCATAAGAACTACACATTGTTTCATAACTCAATTTGAGACTCCAGGGTTCAGGGAGGAAAATGTTTTGCTGTATCTTGCGTCAGTATGACAAAAGATTTCAACAGATTCCTGCAGTTCCTGAAATAATACTGTGGCATCAGCTAGGGCATCCCATCATGCATTGCAGTTCATTGTAAACTCCCTCTTTTAATTCATGATTACAATAACTATTTTGCAATTCTTACTGTTTAATTAGTTTGTCTTTTTAAGTTGAGACACGTTTCCTGAATTGGTGGGGGAAATTATGTTCTATTACTTTATTTATAGCAATAAAAATAAAAACTCCTATGTGACATAACTGTTAGAGACATTAGATTATCTAACATCAACATTAACAAACCCACTGTAGTTATAAACGCATCAAATGAAGACAAGTAAATAATTCAATCCCCGCCGGCATTCATTCATCAAGCTTAATCATTCCACCTTGTTCAGAGTTATTGTGGGAAAAATATACTTTGTTGTATGGTAAATATCCTATGAATATATGACTAAATATACAAAGCAACATTTGGTCCGATGAATGAGTGACAGCTTCACTTCCTCAACCTGTAAGTGTGTGTCTCTCTGTGGGAAGTTTCTTAAGATAAGCATTGCATGTTGTCATGATCACAGTGAAGAATACGTGCAGACACAGAGAACACCTGTGATAGTGAAGCTGGTTTTATGGTCTTTTTTTAATTTATTTTTTAAGTAATGTTGTTTGGAGAGCGTCTGCCAAGAGCATCAGAGCATCTGAATCTTCACAGGCCTCCAGTGTCATCAGGGGTTCTGGACACGATCTCATCAATCTCATCACTACATGTTTACCTCGTCTGAAGGAAATCCCTCATCTAGGGTGTTGTGAGCAAATGCACAGCATTGGCAACCAGTGTTCGGTCCAGCAGAGATTGAGTTTAATATTTTTGAGCTATAAAAAGTGTTTATTGCCGTCGGTGTGGTTTCTTAATTCGGAAACACTGTTGTGCAGAAATCACATCTGATTAATAATTCTGTGTGTGACTGTTGAAGTGCTGATCCGTGTGTGAGTGTGTGTGTGTGGCACATCTCTCCATTTACGAGTGTGTCAGGTTGTCAGCAGTTTGTTGTGCTGGGATGGAGAGAGAGAGGAGGAAGAGGAGGGTGATGAGATTAAGACAAGTCACTGGAGAATGAGTCACAGATCAGACATGCTCTCTCTCACTCACTCACTCACTCACACACTCACTCACTCACTGACTCACTCACACACTCACTCACACACTCACTCACTCACTGACTCACTCACACACTCACTCACACACTCACTCACTCACTGACTCACTCACTCACTCACTCACTGACTCACTCACTGACTCACTCACACACTCACTCACTGACTCACTCACTCACTCACTCACTCACTCACTCACTCACTCACTGACTCACTCACTCACTCACTCACTCACTCACTCACTCACTCACTCACTCACTCACACACTCACTCACACACTCACACTCGCACTCACTCACTCACTCACTGACTCACTCACACTCTCACTCACTCACTCACTCACTCACTCTCACACACGCACTCACTCACACTCACTCACTCACTCACTCACTCACTCACTCACTCTCACTCACTCACACACACTCACACTCACTCACTCACTCACTGACTCACTCACTCACACACTCACTCTCACTCACACTCACTCACTGACTCACTCACACTCACTCACTCACTCACTCACTGACTCACTCACTCACTCTCACTCACTCACTCACTCACTCACTCACTCACTCACTCACTCACTGACTCACTGACTCACTCACTCACTCACTCACTCAACCAATGACTCACTCACTCACTGACTCACTCACTCACTCACTCACTCACTCAACCAATGACTCACTCACTCTCACACACGCACTCACTCTCACACACGCACTCACTCACTCTCACTCACTCACTGACTCACTCACTCACTCACTCACTGACTCACTCACTGACTCACTCACACACTCACTCACTCACTCACTCACTCACTCACTCACTCACTCACACACTCACTCACTCACACACTCACACTCGCACTCACTCACTCACTGACTCACTCACTCACTCTCACACACGCACTCACTCACACTCACTCACTCACTCTCACTCACTCACACACACACACACACTCACACTCACTCACTCACTGACTCACTCACTCACACACTCACACTCACTCACTCACTCTCACTCACACTCACTCACTGACTCACTCACTGACTCACTCACACTCACTCACTCACTCACTCACTGACTCACTCACTCTCACTCACACTCACACTCACTCACTGACTCACTGACTCACTGACTCACTCACTCACTCAATCACTCACTCACTCACTCACTCACTCACTCACTCACTCACTCAATCACTCACTCACTCACTCACTCACTCACTCACTGACTCACTCTCACTCACTCACTCACTCAACCAATGACTCACTCACTCACTCACTCACTCACTCACTGACTCACTGACTCACTGACTCACTCACTCACTCACACACACACTCACTGACTCACTCACTCACTCACTCACTCACTCACTCACTCACTCACTCACTCACTCACTCAACCAATGACTCACTCACTCACTCTCACACACGCACTCACTCACTCTCACACACGCACTCACTCACTAACTCTCACACACACGCACACACACTTCTTCTTCTTCACACGCTTGCTCGCTCACACGCACACACACTTCTTCTTCTTCACACGCTTGCTCGCTCACACACACACACACTAACTCACACTCTCACTCTCTTACACACACACACTAACTCACACTCTCACTTTTTCACACACACGCACACACACACACACACTCACTCACACACACTAACTTGAATGTAAATGTACCTGAACAAGCCCTGAATATGTTTTTTTTGTCCTAAAATCATGCTTCATATTCCATATGCAAACAAACTTAATCTTATTTCTTACTTTTTATTTATTTCTTGTAATATGACCTACATGTGTTCTTGACAGGTTTTATGAGATTTACCCAAATAGCAATCTGTTACAGCTTTCCTTTATATAATAAAAAATAATAATAAATAATACATTTCTTCATTTTTATTTTCAAGGACATCCCCAAAGGCTTTTCCAGACTTAACCCACTTCTGGAAACAATTTTATCTCTAAAGTAAAAAACAAAAAAAAACAAAAAAACATAGTGACCTTGTCCCTCGTCCTGACAAAGAATAATTTGATCTGTTCCTGTGTGTGTTTGTCCCATCAGCTCTGCGCATCATATTTCACTGTGTTAAAGGCTCGTGCTGTCGGAATCTCGCTGCCTCATTAAAACACTCTCTCTCTCTCTCTCTCTCTCTCTCTCTCTCTCTCTCTCTCTCTCTCTCTCTCTCTCTCTCTCTCTCTCTCTCTCTCTCTCTCTCTCTCTCTCTCTCTCTCTCTCTCTCTCTCTCTCTCGCTGCAGTAGGGTTGGCTGGTGTGTTATTGCGGTCGGTGGGGGTTGGATCTGTGTGTGTGTGTGTGTGTGTGTGTGTGTGTAAAGTGCAGGTTTCAGCAGACTGGAGCTCACACACCATTGTCCTCTCAGATCACAGTGTGTGTGTGTGCGTGTGTGAATGAGTGAGTTGTGTGTGTGAGAGAGAGAGGACGCTGCTCGCATCTTCTCACTGCAGCACTGCTGATGTTCCTGCTCTAAAGAATAAAGGAATTCCCTGTTCACTGGGATATGTGTGTGTGTTTGAAAGAGGGATTTAACGGATACTAATGGAACCGGACCTAAACATCGCTGTCGGATCGCGCGCGTCGAGGGGGCGTTTTGTGTGAAGAGCAGCGCTCGCGCGCGTGTGTGTGTGTTTGAAAGGCAGCTATGCGGTCGGAGCGCATGAGTCGTGTGTGTATCGTGGTTCTGGAGGAGGTTGAAGATGACGAACCTTCCTCTCTGCATTCCAAAGCCACTCCGGACCACATTTCCCAGAATTCCTCTCAGGACGAGAAGGTGAGGTGGCTGATTTGACTATTTAGGATATGATAATAGTTTATCTAGTGTGTGTGTGTGTAGGCTACAGCAGCAGGTATCAGTGTGAAAGAGAAGAAAAGCTAAATGACTCGGTTGCTTTAGTAGTTGCATGTTATGATCTGTCCCCGTTATTATCTGAGACAGATACAGACATGTTCATCCAGGTAAGGAGATCTTTGGTGCTGCCAGCTGAGGTCCAAAAATTCCTTTGGAAACCCTGGATCATCTGACCTGGTGACCTTTGACCTCTGGACGGAAACGCAGCTGTCAGACGCAAATGTCACAACCGCTTTAACGCGTTCGTACAGTCAAAATACACCGGCGTTTCTACAAATTTAACGTGAGATGCTGGAAACACAGTGAGATGCATTGCAAAGGCCGAATATGTCCATAAAAAAATGACAAAATGCTGCATTAAATTGCAAGAACATGTTGTGTGTGAACAGGCCTCGGCTGTAATGCAGACATAAACAAACCTCATGCTCTCTTTGTGATTCATATGAAGATATTCACTACATTAGGGTCAGCTTTTAGGTTTAGATTTTATTTAAGAAAGATACATTTGAGAGAACTTTTGTAAATTGTTTTTATTTCAATATTTTGAATCTAAATTAATTATACATTTACTTTTTATTAATTATAAATAGTTTACATTTATGTATTCATTCATCAAAGATAAACTTTAAAAACCTTTTTTTTCTAATAGTTTTTTTATTTATTATCTTAGTTTTTTTTTTTTTAAGATCAACTTTAATAAATTTCGTTTTAATTTACTTCTAATATTTATTTGTTTTTATTTTTGTATGTATTTTTTAATTAAAGATCAACTTAAAAAAAAAAAATCTTTTTTTTTTTTTTGACCTGACTGTGTACAGTTACCTTCACATGTCTAGGCCATTATTCATGGAGCTAAACATATTCATATAATAATCTCAAGATTTTCTTGAAACTGTTTCTCCGCCATGACTGTAGTACACCTAAAAAAGCGCTAATGCTCATTAGCAGTGGTGAGAATGCTACATGTTTTTTGCGTTATGATTTGTGTTCTCACATTTCAGACCAAAATGGCCTGTGTGGTCCTTGTGTAGCTAAAAGTGTTGTTGATCAGTGACAACAGCAGGTGTGTAGATGGAAACTCTTAGACAAATTAGCAGGATAATCAGCAGTTTAGTGGCAGAACCAGACAGGTTTCAGTTCTGTGGATGTTGTCCTTTAATAGTTAGAAGCACCCGGTCTAAGCAGTTCTGGATGTTTCAGGCAATTTTTAGGACCTTCAGGCTGAAGTTTGTGCTGTTGTAACAAGCCACGTTTCCATGAAACGGAGGAAACCTGCATTCTTTCTTTTACAGGATTCCCTCCCGTCTTTCCTGCATTGTTATTAAAAACAGTCTGCCTTCTGCTGCTGCATCTTCATGTGTTTGTGAGGTGAATTCACAGGAAACCTGCTGTGTGTGTGTCTGAGTACATTCAATAAGTGTCTGCTACTCTCTTGCATAAATTGCAGTTTCCTGTAATAATGGCATCTGAGTATGCAGGGTGTGGCTGGTGGGTGTGGTTGGTGGGCGGGGCCAAAAAGGGTGTGACTGGTGGGCGGGGCCAAACAGGGTGTGGCTGTAATGTACCCTGGCCTTATTTGGAATAACCTTGAATGAGATATTTATGGCATATTTTCATCGATTTGGTTACAGTGATATTTTAATGTTATTTTATACATAATATTTTGAATCACCATTTATTTTTTATTACTGTTTATGTTTTTATTTGTTTTTATTTCATTTGAGTGATTTCTGTAAATTAGTTGCCAAGGCAACATTTCTAATTTTATTTAAATCTGTAGTTTTAGTTTTTAGTTTTTTTTTAACCTTTACTTCAATTAACAAAAGTTTGTTATAGTTTTAGTGATGTAGCCGATATGACAGACTTGCGCTGCACTTGTTGCACTTTTTACTGTATTTTACTTTTTAAAGTGATTTCAATCATATTTCAAGCAATTCAAAACCATTATGGCGAACTAGCATCTGAAGAAAATAATACATTGTTTATCGGCTTTAATATATCGGCCAAATTTTCCTATCGGGCCGATAAACGATAACATTAAAAATGAAAATATATCTGCGGTGGCCGATATATCGTGCATCCCTAATTCTCATTATCAGCTACAATGTAAACATGTTTATTGGCTATATTACCCCAAAATCTCATATATTTATATATATATATATATAATATATATATATATATATATATATATATATATATATTGCAATTGTTCACTAATAATCTGCTCAATATAAAGGGTTGATTTGATTCTGTTTAAAGTAAAGTAACTGAGCACAGATGCTGTTAGGACTGATTTCATACACTATTAAATACATTTATTTCATCCTGAGCTTGAATGGATTTTCCTCTTTGGCGTCTCGATGAATCAATGGTTTCCTTTCTTCTGCAGCTATAATAAACCGCTTGACATTTGATTCTCAGAACTCATTTCTGCATAGATCAAAACACAATGTTTCATTCATTTACCTTCTTTTCCTCTTCACACAACATATTCAACACGGACCCCATCGTTTCAGTTTTGATCAATATGATGTTTTTCTCTTCAGTGTTGTGTTTAACTGTTTCTCTCTCATTTCTCCACAGCCCTCTCTGATTAAAGCCATATTTAATGTGGACGCAGATGAAGTTCGCTCTCTCATATTCAAGAAAGAAGATGTCAATGTACAGGTAAATGTCCTTTACTGATTATTGTTTGGGTGAAAATCCCATTGAAATTCTCTGTATATGGAGCCGTCTTTATTGCATGTGGCCGGGTATTGAGACCAGTTCATTGATCTCTCAGTGATGGATGGTCTTGGAAACCAATCTGAAATGGACACACTGGCAGTCTCTGCACATTATTACTCTTAGTTTGATAATGGATCTTCATCTGAGAGGTTGATACGCTGTTATGAGCCTGCATTTGGACTGAAGATGGTTATTTTACTGCTCGCTGTTTAATGCGGAGTCTGTTTTCATCGCCAATGCCAGGCCTGGTCTGGAGCGACGCCCATTTGACTGCCAACCAATCAGTGATGGCCTTCTGGGTCACATGACCCCGTGTGGCTTGGCCTCCTGTTTTCCATTCTCATTCCAGACCAGATGGAAAACAGAAGCCTGCAGGGTGGCATGACATGGGGAATGAATGATTGCCGCTCTTTCGTAATTGCCTTTATTGATGGCAATGTAGAAGGAGCTTTACTCGGGCATCTGGAGGAATGTTTAAAGCTACAGAAGATCTCAGGAACCTGAAAACAGAAAAATGTGTGTGTGTCTCATGTTTCTGCATGCTCTCTCAAGAGATCAGTGGCCGCATTGATCAGTGTGGATCACACACACACACACAGAAATGCATCATTGTGCCATGCGCAAGAATCCAGTGTGTTTGTGTGTCTCATATATCACACTCCCTGCTGAAACCGCACATGCATCAAACGCATGCAAATAAAGAGGTGAATTACAAAATTATCATTTTTGATGTAGCATAAACAGCAGATGAGTGTAAAATCATCCTGTTTTGGAGCTGCGTTAGAATTTGTTTTGTTGATGTAGAGGCATAATTTTAAAGATACTTTTATTCAGCAAGGATGCATTCAATTCGATCCAAAATGACTGTGACATTTGTAATGTTACAAAAGATTTCAATTTCAAATAAATGCTGTTCAATTGAACTTTCTTTTCTCAAATAATCCTGAAAAATGTATCACAGTTTCCATAAAAATATGAAGCAGCATCACGACTGTTTTCAACATTGATAATAATCATAAATGTTTCTTGAGCAGCAAATCATCATATTAGAGTGATTTCTGAAGGATCATGTGACACTGAAGACTGGAGTAATGATGCTGAAAATACAGCTTTGATCACAGGAATAAATTACAGTTTACTATATATTCACATAGAAAACAGCTATTTTGAATTGTAATAATATTTCACAATATTACTGTTTTTACTGTATCTTTGATCAAATAAACGCAGCCTTGGTGAGCAGAAGAGACTCATTTCAAAAACATTATGAAATCTTAGCGACTCGACCGTTTAAACGCTAGTGTGTTTGTTGTGTATTGCTGTATGTGATGCTACTGTGAGTTTTCAACATGGTTGTTATTAATGTCTGTGATTGTGAATCCTCAGGACAGTGAGAAGAGGACGCCGCTTCACGCTGCTGCGTACCTGGGCGACGCGGAGATCATCGAGCTGCTCATCCTGTCAGGTATGAAGGGGCGTTTCCACATATAATATACCAATGCTTTTGTATCATCTGTTTTGAAAGAAGAATATGCTCACTTTGCAGACCTCTTATATATGCTCCAAAATCTACTGACAGCCAATGCATCATTTCCAATTCCATGATATTCAAAACTGTTTGAAAGTTTGGGGTCTGTTAGATTTGTTAAATATTTTTTAAATAAGTCTCTTCTGCTCACTAAGGCTGCGTTTATTTGGTCAAAAATACAGTAATAATGTGAAATATTTTTACAATTTAAAATATCTGTTTTCTATGGAAGCTTGTTTCCGCCACAGAATGAAAAATAAAAAAGGTAATTGCGACTTTTTATCTCACAATTCTGACTTTTTTTTCTTACAATAGCGAGATATAAAGTCAGAATTGCGAGATATAAAGTCAGAATTGATTGATATAAAGTCGCAATTGCGTCTTGTTAAGTCAGAATTGTGAGATATAAACTATTCTGAGGGGGAAAAAGTCAGTCTTTTTTCCCCCTTAGAATTGGCCCGATAACTCGCAATTGCGAGTTTATATCTCACAATTCTGAGAAAAGATGTCAGAATTTCGAGATGTAAACTCACAATTGTGAGAAAAAAAGTCAGAATTGTGAGATAAAAAGTCTAAATTCTGTTATTTTTTCTCGCAATTGCGACTTTTTCTCAGAATTGCTACTTTATATCTTGCAATTGCGACTTTATTTCTCAGAATTGCGACTTTATATCTTGCAATTGCGACTTTATTTCTCAGAATTGCGACTTTATATCTTGCAATTGCGACTTTATTTCTCAGAATTGCGACTTTATATCTTGCAATTGCGACTTTATTTCTCAGAATTGTGACTTTATATCTTGCAATTGCGACTTTATATCTCGCAATTGCGACTTTATTTCTCACAATTCTGACTTCATATCTCGCAATTGTGAGATAAAAAGTCGCTATTATTATTATTTTTTATTCAGTGGCGGAAACAAGCTTCCATAGTTTTCTATGTGAATATATAGTAAAGTGTAATGTATTCCTGTGATCAAAGCTGTATTTTCAGCATCATTACTCCAGTCTTCAGTGTCTCATGATCCTTCAGAAATCACTCTAATATGAGGATTTGCTGATCAAGACACATTTATGATTATTATCAATGTTAAAAACATATTTTTATAGAAACCATGATTCTTTTCCCAATATTCTTTGATAAATATAAAGTTTAAATGAACAGCATTTATTTGAAATAGAATCTTTGGTAACATTATAAACTTTACTGTCACTTTTGATCAATTGAATGCGTCCTTGCTTAATAAAAGAATATAAAAAAGGAAAAAAATCTGACCTTCCCCAAACTTTTGAACGATAGTGTGTCACCAAAACATCTTTTTAATGTGTTTTCGTCTAAATAAAATATATCAAGCCCTTAAACATCCTAGAAACCCTTAGCAATCACTAACACCACCATTGTGACTTTGTGTTCTGTATATAATAGAAAATGCCTAATGTATGTAAATTATATCATCCAGAAACCTTTCTAGATTTTGCAGTCAAATTCGAGCACTATATTGACACACTGACAAAACATACACACATCATGTGTCTTCCTGAATGACTTCCAGTATGTGCGTGTGTGAAGAGGAGTTGTCTTCATGAATGACAGAGTGAAAGTAACAGGTGTTGCTGTATTTTAAGCAACAGATGTGATCCCAGAGGATTGTGGGAGTTTATTTTAAACAGGCTTATGGGAAGCTCCATGTATCCTGCTTCAACTGTGACATTAATACCTGTAATTCTGCATATCCTTTCTCTCAGGGGCGAGAGTAAATGCCAAAGATAATAAATGGCTCACTCCTCTTCATCGGGCCGTAGCTTCCTGTAGCGAGGTACGTCACGTCCACGGAACAACAAACACACACAAACAAAGGTTTTCAGGCTCATTCATTTTCTCGTTGTGTGTTCAGGAGGCCGTCCAGGTGTTGTTGAAACACTCTGCCGACGTCAACGCGCGGGACAAAAACTGGCAGACGCCGTTGCACGTGTCCGCGGCCCATAAAGCAGTGCGCTGCGCCGAGGCTTTAGTGCCATTGCTGAGCAACGTCAACCTGTCGGACCGCGCCGGACGTACGCCTCTACAACACGCGGCCTTCAGCGGACACCTGGAGGTCAGACGTTCACTCTCACTGCCATTTCTCACACAGATCAACAGCTGCACAATCATAGCGGAGGTTACGAGACCCGTTTACACAAACGTATTACAGACAAAAGACATATTCACACCAAGAGTAAAATAAGAAAATCTGGTTATTCAATGCAAAATACAGAAAAATAGTATCTGATCATATAAATTTCACTCACATTAATGTATTTTTCTAATTTTTGAACTATTGTTCACTATTTTATAATAAAAAAATTAGGACACATTAAATTGATCAAAAGTCACAAGATTTCAAAAGATTTCTGTTTCAAATAAATGCTTTCTATTCATTTAAGAAACAAATGTATCACGGTTTCCACAAAATATGAAGCAGCACAACTTTTTTCAAATTTGATAATATTCATAAATTTGTCTTGAGCAGCAAATCATCATATTAGAGTGATTTCTGAAGGATCATGTGACATTGAAGACTGGAGTAATGATGCTGAAAATTCAGCTTTGATCACAGGAATAAATTTAATTTTACAATATATTCACATACAAAAAAGCTATTTTAAATGTTACTAATATTTCACAATGTTTTCACTGTATTTTTCATCTAATAAACATCCTTGGTGAGGAGAAGAGACTTTAAAAAAAAAATCATACCGACCTCAAACTTTTGAAAGCTAGTATATATTTATATTTGAACTTTCCAAACAAAGTCAGACCATCTTAAAAGTCATGTGATCCAAGGCTAGTTGACCGCCTCAGAACTAATCAGTTAATTGCCACAAACTTTGCCCTTCTTTTTGCTCTTTCTTCACTGAGATCAACAGATTGAGGTCTGTCTAGAGTGCCGCTAGCGGACACATGACCCAAAAGCTGATATATTATTGATCGGTTAAGCAAGCTTGGGAAAAACAACCAGGGCTGTCTCAAACACAGCTCAGGTCTCCAAAAAAAGTCAAATAACATGAATTTAATTTTATTGGAATTTAAAATGACACTTATTCTATTGGAACATATTGGAGCATTTAAATGCATTTTAAAGGGTTAGTTCACCCAAAAATGAAAATTATCATTAATGACTCTCCCTCATGTCGTTCCAAGCCCGTAAGACCTCCGTTCATCTTCAGAACACAGTTTAAGATATTTTAGATTTAGTCCGAGAGCTTTCTGTCCCTCCATTGAAAATGTATGTATGGTATACTGTCCTTGTCCAGAAAGGAAATAAAGACATCATCAAAGTAGTCCATGTGACATCAGTGGGTTAGTTAGAGTGTGTTGAAGCATCGAAAAGACATTTTGCTCCAAAATAACAAAAACTAGGACTTTATTCAGCATTGTATTGTCTTCCGGTTCTGTTGTGGATCCGCGTTCAGTGCCGCTGCTGACGTGTGTCTGGTGTGTGTGTGTGTGTGTGTATTCTGGTTCTGTTGTGGATCCGCGTTCAGTGCCGCCGCTGACGTAAGACGCTGCTGACGTGTGTCTGGTGTGTGTGTGTGTGTGTGTGTGTGTATTCTGGTTCTGTTGTGGATCCGCGTTCAGTGCCGCTGCTGACGTGTGTCTGTTGTGTGTGTGTGTGTGTGTGTGTGTATTCGGGTTCTGTTGTGGATCCGCGTTCAGTGCCGCTGCTGACGTGTGTCTGTTGTGTGTGTGTGTGTGTGTGTGTATTCCGGTTCTGTTGTGGATCCGCGTTCAGTGCCGCTGCTGACGTGTGTCTGGTGTGTGTGTGTGTGTGTGTGTATTCGGGTTCTGTTGTGGATCCGCGTTCAGTGCCGCTGCTGACGTGTGTCTGTTGTGTGTGTGTGTGTGTGTATTCGGGTTCAAATAAATATGGCTGGGCAAAAAAATGCAAGTCTTCCTCTGTGTGGAAATCCTTAGACATGTTTGCGAAGATTGTTTTGTTTCCAGCGTGCGTCTCCCTCAGACTGTAAACGAAGCTCGGGCGCACCAGACACACACACACACACACACCAGACACGCGTCAGCAGCGGCACTGAACGCGGATCCACAACAGAACCAGAATACACACACACACACACACACCAGACACACGTCAGCAGCGGCACTGAACGCGGATCCACAACAGAACCAGAATACACACACACACACACACACCAGACACGCGTCAGCAGCGGCACTGAACGCGGATCCACAACAGAACCAGAATACACACACACACACACACACACACACCAGACACACGTCAGCAGCGTCTTACGTCAGCGGCGGCACTGAACGCGGATCCACAACAGAACCAGAATACACACACACACACACACACACACACCAGACACACGTCAGCAGCGTCTTACGTCAGCGCCGGCACTGAACACGGATCCACAACAGAACCAGAATACACACACACACACACACACACACCAGACACACGTCAGCAGCGTCTTACGTCAGCGGCGGCACTGAACGCGGATCCACAACAGAACCGGAACACACACACACACACACACACACACACACACACACACACACACACCAGACACACGTCAGCGGCGTCACTGAACGCGGATCCACAACAGAACCGGAAGACAATACAATGCTGAATAAAGTCCTAGTTTTTGTTATTTTTGGAGCAAAATGTCTTTTCGATGCTTCAACACACTCTAACTAACCCACTGATGTCACATGGACTACTTTGATGACGTCTTTATTTCCTTTCTGGACAAGGACAGTATACCGTACACACATTTACAATGGAGGGACAGAAAGCTCTCGGACTAAATCTAAAATATCTTAAACTGTGTTCTGAAGATGAACGGAGGTCTGACGGGCTTGGGACGACATGAGGGAGAGTCATTAACATTGACATCATTTTTGGGTGAACTAACCCTTTAAGTTGTACTTCCCATCATGACTCTAGCTAAAATCATCAAACTGGACACGTGTGCATGTGAAATCTTTAGTTTCTCTGTCATTGCAGATGGTTCAGTTGCTTGTGTCCAGAGGTGCAAACATCAACGCTTTTGATAAGAAGGACAGACGAGCTGTTCACTGGGCCGCATACATGGGTGAAAAACATCAACATCAGAGCAAACAGAAAACATGTTTCTGTCATTGATCTGAAATCACTCACTCCCTCCCTCCTTCTCGGTCTCAGGTCATTTAGAGGTGATGAAGTTCCTGGTGTCTCATGGTGCTGAGCTTTGCTGTAAGGATAAGAAATCATATACTCCGCTTCACGCCGCTGCCTCCAGTGGAATGATCAACGTGGTCAAATACCTGCTGAATCTGGGTGTTGATGTAAGTAAGCCCCGCCCACACGCACATACAACTCCGCCCCTGGGTCGTCACGTGAACTGTGCTTGTTTTTATACGGAGAACACAATCTATTTGTATAGCCTAGCCAAAGCTACAAATGTTCAAAGTTACTACATGCAAACATTCATAGAACTCACATTGTTATTTTCCTTAAATTATAAAAGAATTTAAAGGGTTCATGACATGAGAAATCAAATTTGACATATAAAAGGCATTAAAGGACATATAAAAGGTCTTTGTACCATGAAATTATCCTGCAAGTTTCATAGCTTAAAATGTCCTCCCCATTAAAAACAAAGTATTTTTTAACCAATCCCAGCATCAGGTACAAGTGGATGGTTTATATGTTTCCGTCGGAGGATTATATGTTTGTTCGGAGCATTTGACTGCAGATTGTTTTATAAATGAGGCACAGTGTAATGTAGAGTTTGCAAAGAAACTTTTGTTGAAAGGTAAAACGGCCGACTATATTGGATCTGACAGCAGCTGCATCACAAACCCTAATTTTATAATGCATGATGCTTTTTCTATGGATAATGTTTACAAAACACTCCCGTGCAATAGCAATGGTACCGTTTACTACGCAATGACGTTAGCCAATCATAACAGTGGCCGTTTACTGACGAGCCTTAACCCTCTGGGGACGGATTGGGCGGTACCGCCCAAAATGGCATACTTTTACAAATGTTTAAATATCTTAAAAACTATTAATGATAGAGAGGTGCGGTGTTTTTTACCGTTTTCCTCAGATTCCGCTGAAAACAGTGATAACTTACCCGGCTTGTAAATATACACACTTCCTTGTTGAGGAATACCACTATGTAAAGGGCCAATGAAATCGATGTTGTTTGGCAGATTCCGCAAGCAACAACCAATGGAAAAATTGCCGATGGCGAAATATTTTTCTTATCCAATCAGAGGAAGGTTACCATGACGTATCTAGCAAATCAGAGGACTCTGTAGCCTGGCAAGGGGTGGTACTATATAGTTAGGGATATGACGCAAACAGCGTTGAATGGAGAGAAGGAGAGAGAGCGAACGGAGCGGATTATCAGAGAAATATGAGAGAGAGACAGAACAATTATAATATATATATTTATATACATACAATTATAACATTATTTATTGTTTTAGCACTTTTATGATGGCAAGCAGTAAAGATTTACGGTGGAACAAGCTCTGGAACAATTACTGGAGAGTGACGAGGAGAAAGCATTGCTTAGAAAATTCTAAGCATTCCTAAGAAAAACGCCTAGGACTATTTGTAAATAAAGTTACATTTTTCATTGTTCTTTACACATTTTATTTAACAATTGCACATGTCTGTCAAGCAAAGGCTTTGACAAATATATTTTTTGTTCAAAAACTGTTCACTATTGTTGTGTGATTTTCATCTAATTTCCGTTTTTGAAATTCTCTAGTTTATTGTACATTTTTCACTCATACTTCCTTTATAAACTTGCTTATGTTAGCTTAGGGTCTTCTGAATCCATAGATACCAAACAAATAGTGTTCCATCTCCATTACGTATGGTTTATAAGCCCAAATGTAAAAATAGGGAAAACGTACCAAAAAGGGCTTAGTCCCCAGAGGGTTAAAGGAGTCGTGCCTTAAAAACTGATCATTTCAGACAGAGGGACAGAATGGAGGTTGAAAATCATTTTTGGTGCAAACAACTTTATTACCAGTATAAGTGAACATATTCTTCAAATATAAAACATCCATGTCATGACTAATTTAAATCATCTACTGTAGTGTTCAGTTGTAAAACGATATACGTTATAATAGTCTATTATTACAGTTAAGATTAAAATAACTGTTGAACCATTAATCAAATGATCTGTCTCTGTTAGATTAACGAGCCGAACGCGTATGGAAACAGTCCTCTGCACTTGGCGTGTTTTAACGGGCAGGACGTGGTGGTGAATGAGCTGATAGAAGCAGGTGCTGACGTGAACCAGGTGAACGAGAGGGGTTTCTCTCCGCTGCACTTCACCTCTGCCTCCCGCCAGGGGGCGCTGTGTCTGGAGCTGCTCGTGGCCAACGGGGCCAACGTCAACCGCAAGGTCAGACACTTTTCTGAATGGTTCACACAGAACTCGCTTTTGTGGTTGAATACATGAGACGCAAGTCAGTGGAACAGAAAAAAAAGCATAAGGTCTAGACTAGAGTGTCAAACACGTCTGTCTAGTGGGTGTTTACAAAGGAAAAACATCGCAGTGGAATGGAAAAATGCATTCAAAATGCAATATCTTGCATTATTATTAGTGCTGTCAAACGATTAAAATATTTAATCGTGATTAATCGCATTAATTACATAGTTAACTCGCGATTAATCGCACATTTTTATCTATTCTAAATGTCTCTTCATTTCTTTTTGTCCCATTATTTTTTTTCTCATTTTAATGCTCTTATCAACATGGAAAAGTGGATCGGCTTGCTTTGTGCAAATGTTTTTTATTGAAAACAACATTGACATATACTGTGTTCAATTTCACACTAACATTCTCACTTGGAGCAAATAATCTCACACAATGCAACACTGTCCATCAATAAAAGGGTGAAAGAAATACTGACGAGGTCCTGATATTGACGAGGGGGTGGAGAATTCGCATCAGCTGTGTGTGTGTGTGTGTGTGTGTGTGTGTGTGTGCTTGGCCATCAAGTGGTGTTTCAGACTGGACACGCTGCGATGATGATAGCTCAGTTCACAACGACAAAACACACAGATCACTTTGGTCTCGTCAATGGGACCATTTGGCAACTTTTTAAAAGTAAACTTTCCATTCAGAATCTTATTGGCATCCATTTCGGCGTCTCGCGCTCGTCATCCACTCAAAACGTAACGTTAACCTACTATTTGGCCGGCTCGCAAGCCCAAACGAGTGTGTGTGGCGTGCCTGTTGTTTTGTTTCCGGTCTAGCTAGATCCGCTTGTGCTTTGATCGACAAAGCAACAAAACGTCCTCGCGCGGCGCAAAGCCATTGAAATGAATGGGTTTCATAGCGTAGCGCCGCGCATGCCGCGTCCTGTTGCAAAAGCATGTGAAAAAAACTGCAAAGTTTGCTAGGCCAAAAAGACTGTTAATTGCGCGATAAAAAAATTAACGCCGTTAAAATGGGTTTGCGTTAACGCTGTTAATAACGCGTTTAACTGACAGCCCTAATTATTATTAATTATTAATCTGCACCAAGGCTGCATATATTTGATGATAAGTACAGTAAAGAGATCAGTATCATCATAAAGATGAATGCAGATTAATAATTAATAATGCAATAACTTGAAATGGATAAGTGGAATAGCAGACAAGAGCAAAGCAAAACAAGAAAGTCTGGTTGTTCACATGCTTTAATAAAGTATACAGAAAGCCATCTGATAATATAAGTTTCACTCATGTTAATGCACTGATATAAGCTATGTTTCCATACAAAGTTGAAAAATTGGAATATCGGATAAAACATTTGCGAATGACGCAGCATTTCTTTCCCGTGTGTTCAAGAGAACAAAATCGTCACTTCCTGGGAAATTGAAGCAAAATATCTGTAATAAAAATGGAAGTGGCTGCAATCGGGGAAGAAACTGTCTTTTTGAGTTCATTTACTGTAAATGACTTGCATCTTAGAGCGCGCAGACGAAACGCAGTAAACACTCATGTTCTCCTGCGTTCGGATGCTGGTGTTTGTGAACGCAATCGTGTGAGACGCTTCTGGGAGCTCATTACACCAAATCATTCTGATGACAGACATTTCAGAATGACCAAACCAACATTTGAGATGATGTGCGATACGATTGGTCCACTGGTTATTCCAGTTATCCAATCACATCCTCTGGTCAGGCAAAGTCACAGAGTCGTCTGTTGCGCAGGGATTTATTCTGTAAATGTGTTTCCATCGTTCCAAAATATTCACCTCAATTGAGCGCATTCATTTTTTTATGCACATTCTTAGAATTAATTTGTATCTTGCCATTTCCATCCAGCCATTTTTTTAATGCGATATCCCATAATTTGCATAAAAATAGGTATATGGAAACATGGCTACAAGCATACCGTGATACAATCCAAAACCACTTGTGGAAATGCTTCTATTTTGCATATTTCTGAAAAATATTCTAACTACTACACCACTTTAAAGTGTAAGATTGCTTAAAAAAAAAAAGTAATACTTTTATAATACTAAAATAACTTTGTTTCCAGAGTAAAGATGGTAAAACTCCTCTCCACATGGCGGCCATTCACGGGCGATACTCCAGATCACAGGCCATCATTCAGAACGGTGAGTGTGTTGTTATTCTGCCGTTTCTTGTTTGTCTTCCTCTCCAGTTTCTCCTCATCCTCTGTTTTGTGGTTTGTAGGCTCAGAGATCGACTGCGAGGATGAGAACGGAAACTCTCCTCTTCATATAGCGGCTCGATACGGTCACGAGCTGCTCGTCAACACGCTCATAACCAACGGTGCGGATACGGCAAAGTGAGTGACAGGACGTGTGTTTACACAGTTAAGGCCTGATTTATGAGCTGATGCTGATCATGTGACTGTGACTCCGCCCCCTGTAGGCGGGGCATCCACGGCATGTTCCCGCTGCATCTGGCGGCGCTGAGCGGATTTTCAGACTGTTGCCGGAAACTGCTCTCATCAGGTGAAACACATTTATCATAAAGGTTAATGTTCATCCAGGCCTTTACCAAACTGATTCCTGAGTATGAAACAAACTTTTCCCTCTCTTAATCGCACACTGTGCGATTTATAATAGTCCTTTACGATAGTTGCTTGTTTACTTCATCAAACAATGACTCGTTCGGTGATGTGAGCTGCGTTACACGTAAGGGTTAATGGCCGACGAGGTGTCCATTGTCAGGTATTAGTGGACGACGGACGGTTGGCTCCACCGAAGTCCATTAATACCTAGACAATGGACACCTCGAAGGGCATTAACCCGCTTATACCACGGTCACTTGCCAAATAACACATTTTTAAAACATTAGTTTATATTTTAATTAGTTTTACAATCGAAATCTAAAGTTTTTACAAACAATAACTTTGTTTCCCTGGTTACGCCTGAGGGTTTATTTAGCAACCGGAGATATTTATAGTCCGCTCCGCTCGTAGACCCCTTCAGTTTAGCTAACTTACGAGCTAGAAAGTTAAAGGGATAGTTCACCCAAAAATTAAAACTCTGTCAGTAATTACTCTCCCTCATGTTGTTCAACCCCGTAAGACTTTCGTTCATCTTCGAGACACAAATTAAGATATTTTTGATTAAATCTGAGAGCTGGATCACTCCTCCATAGGCTTCTTAAGGGATCGAAACTGTCCGACCCAAAAGTTATGAAAGACATCGTTAAAATAGTCCGAGTGACGACAGCGGCACAACCTTAAGTTTATCAAGCGACGAGAATACTTTTTGTGCGCAAAAAACAAACAAAAATAATGACTTTATTCAACTATTCATTTCCTTCTCTGTTGGCCTCGAGATTTCACGTAGTGTAACAGCGCAGCGCTTCTGTGTTGTACGTCACACGCAGGCTCACTATTGGCCGACGCTGGTCATGTGTGTGATGATGCGTGTGACGTACAACACAGAAGCTTTGCGTAGTGTCACTACGTGAAATCTCGAGGCCCACAGGGAAGGAAATGAATAGTTGAATAAAGTCGTTATTTTTGTTTGTTTTTTTGCGCACAAAAAGTATTCTCGTCGCTTGATAAACTTAAGGTTGAGCCACTGTAGTCACTCGGACTATTTTAACGATGTCTTTAATAACTTTTCTGGGCCGGCCAGTTTCGATCCCTTAAGAAGCCCATGGAGGAGTGATCCAGCTCTCAGATTTAATCAAAAATATCTTAATTTGTGTCTCGAAGATGAACGAAAGTCTTACGGGGTTGAACAACATGAGGGAGAGTAATTACTGACAGAGTTTTCATTTTTGGGCGAACTATCCCTTTAACGTATTTTTTTTTTCATGTAAGTTAGGCTTGTCTAGCCATGGGCGTTACACTTTTGTTTTGTTTTTAACCTATAATTAAAACACACAGGTAGGCATAGTATAACGGCTAAGTAGATGTTTGTTTTGACAATTGGTCAGTCGTCGTAGGAGAGTCACACTCCAGGACTGTGAGTCAAATCTTCTGACACTGCCAGAATTTCATCTGAGGTAAACTTTGATCGGCTGTCGGTGAACATGTCAAACTAACGATCAAAGACTTCAGATGTTAGCTTAGGATCAGAGGAATCTTTTAGGATTTGCAAAATTTGTCTCAGACGGCCAAATCGAGGCCAGAATCTCACAGTGTGCACCCGGCTTTAGGGAAGTGCATTTGTGTTCTGCTCTTCATCAATGGGTATCTGTTGCTCCAGGTTTTGACATGGATACGCCGGACGACTTTGGCAGGACGTGTTTGCATGCGGCCGCTGCAGGAGGGTGAGTCTTCTCTCTGATTGGCTCATCGGCTCCCCCTGTGGCCTGGATGCTTTATGGGCCCGTCTCTCCTTCTTTTTTTCCAGGAATCTGGAGTGTTTAAATCTGTTGCTCAACACAGGTGCGGACTTTAACAGGAAAGACAGATTTGGGAGGTGAGTTACATTAGATAATCAAAAGTTTTTTGTGTGTGTGTGTGTGTGTGTTTCTGAAAGAAGCTGCATTTATTTGACCAAAAATACAGTAAAAACAGTAATATTGTGAAATTTCTATTTGAATATATATTTTAAATGTACTTTATTCCTGTGATCAAAGCTGAATTTTCAGCATCATTACTCCAGTCTTCAGTGTCACATGATCCTTCAGAAATCACACTAATATGATGATTTGATGCTCAATATTTTAGTATGGTAGTTTGTCATATTTATATTTCTATATAATGTGGGTAACACTTTAGTTTAGGGTCCAATTCTCACTATTAACTAGTTGTTTATTAGCATGCGTATTAATAGGATATTGGCTGTTTATTTATTAGTACTTAAAAAGCACATATTAATGCCTTATTCTGCATACCATATTTTACATCCCTTAATCCTCAATACCTAAAGTTAACATCTACCTTACTAACTATTAATAAGCAGTAATTAGGGGTTTATTGAGGCATAAACATTATAAATCGTAGTTGATAGTGAGAATCGGATTCTAATCCAAAGTGTGACCATAACGTGTGTATATATAAAAGTAACATTTGTTTTTCCCATATTGGGTTCAGATATGACAGTTTTATTAAAGCAGCCTGGGATGTACTGTATATTCTCCTCCAGATTCCCATCACTGTGATAAAACAGATTTCAGGAATCCTGCAGGAGGAATGTGTTTATCATGTATGATTTATCGCTCTCTCTCTCAGGACAGCGCTGCATTACGCTGCTGCTAACTGTAACTATCAGTGTCTGTTTGCTCTGGTGGGCTCCGGGGCCAGTGTGAACGAGCGGGACGTCCGGGGCTGCAGCTCGATACACTACACGGCTGCGGCCGACTCCGACGGCAGGTGATCAGAACACACACACTGGAAACGGAAGGTCGAGTCAAGCGCACTGCATTGTGGGATACGGACACACATTAAGTAATGTGCTCTAGTTGCACATACTGTGTCCGCAAATGTATTAGGTCATCCGATCCGGGTATTACAGGCACACAGAAAATGTGTTTGCTGTGTAGATATATCTCACAAATATGAGCTAATGTGCCATAGAGTACATTGTAGAGTGCATCTTTTACAGCTACGTTTGTTTCGGAAATATTTTTTGCATTAACATTTTTAGCACAGAGATTAAAAAAAAAAAAAAAGTCTGTTAAAGCGTTATACAGGTGAAACCCGAAAAATGTGAATATCGTGCAAAAGTTTATTAATTTCAGTAATTCAACTTAAAAGGTGAAACTAATATATTATATAGACTCATTACATGCAAAGGGAGTTCAAAATTAGAATATTGTGAAAAGGTTTTCATAGCTGTAAGCCATAATCATCAAAATTATAACAAATAAAGGCTTGAAATATCTCACTTTGCATGTAATGAGTCTATATAATATATTAGTTTCACCTTTTAAGTTGAATTACTGAAATAAATGAACTTTTGCACCATATTCACATTTTTCGAGTTTCACCTGTAAGCCAAATCAAGCCAAAAAGCTATGAGGAGAATCACAATATTACAAATTTTTATTCAAAGCAAAATCGCATTTGAAAATCGAAAAAACGGTGTACTTCATGGCTTTAGTGAGGGAAATAACTACAATCCCATGAAGCATTGCGTATGACATAATCGAATTAAAAACGATGGTGATATATAAAACTATTCATTTAAGGTGTCGATTATTTCTTCAGGAACATATGTATGGAGTTCCCTGAAAGGTCCTTTTTAAAATAAATTTTTCCTATAAGGTTTTAAAAAAGTCTTTGTTAAAGAGATATAAGCCATGAACCAAGCCAACCAGCGACGAGGTGAATCACAACATTACAAATTTGATTAGAAGCAAAAAAGTTGGACAACTAAGACAAAAGTACAAGACTGTGTTGTAAACGCACTATGGAGAAAATGAATGTAGTTTTTACTTCTGGAACGCAACTGTTAAACTCTATTGGCTCACCGTGACTCTGATTGGTGGAATCGTCTATACAGCATCATGGGTAATGTAGTTGTTCCGCTGTAAAGCGTGGTTATTTAAAAAAAAAATAATGTGAAATAATACCATCGTTTAAATTCCTCGGAGCTCATAGTAAAAAAAGTGCAAGTTATCATTAAAATCAGTTTCTCTATGGAGAAAATGAATGGAGTTTTACTTCCGTCTGTTGCACTCAGTGAATGTTTGAGCTGATCTGTCTCCGTCTGTCAGGTGTCTGGAGTATCTGTTGAGGAATGATGCGAATCCGGGTCTCAGGGATAAAGACGGATACAGCGCTGTTCACTACGCTTCAGCGTACGGTCACCGAGTGTGTCTGGAGCTGGTTAGTTCATCTAAACACTGTGAGCTTAAACACTCCTCAACACCGCCCTGTTTTCAGGGTTAATCTCTGTGTTTTATGTTGTAGATCGCCAACGAAACGCCATTGGATGTGGTGAGTATCTGTATTTCTGTGTGGATTGAACAAAAGGACACACGATCTGGCCAGTGCTGCCCTCTTATGGCCACATAAAGTTCACAATTGATAAATGTTTCTGTTCTTATTATGTGTGATTCATCAGTGCATGAAGAAAAACATTTTGTATTCTTTCATAATCTATCAAAATGTAATACCTTTCTCCTTCAAAACCATTTTCTGTTGATATAAACAAGCAAAGACTGGAGATAAATACTAATAATGAATAATAACAGTAATTAATAACAATAGCCTAACAATTCATGGTCCAATGTCATTCTGATGAATAAAATATAATAAATTCTCTCTCTAAATTGCATGCATTCTGAATGCCATTTCATGTCCTCAAGTATAAATAAAAAAAATCATAATTTTTCACCTTATTCCTTTAGTTAGCTGTTTTAAATTGTGTAATTTCATAAAGCCATGAATGCATGTATGTTTTCAGCTGATGAACACGTCTGCATCAAGTCTCTTAAACGACACAGACGTCCAGCCTCCCGTCAGCCCTTTACACTTAGCGGTGAGTTACAGATCCAGATATCCTGCTCTGTAGAATAATATTGAAATATTATATATATATATATATATATATATATATATATATATATATATATATATATATATATATATATATCTACAATGGAGTAATTCTAGTTCAGTTAAAAAATGCAGCCATTTATAAAACGAGTCACTCAAAAACCGCTTAAAACTATATATATAACATTTGTGCCTTTTATTTATTGAACTTCCTGCCAAGAGAACACCACCTAACTGAGGCAAAAAAACTTGAATTTTATATATATATATATATTATTGTTTTATTTTATTTTTCAGTTAGGTGTTGTTCTCTTGGCAGGAAGTTCAATAAATAAAAGGCACAAATGTTTTCTAAATAATTACATGTAATATTAATAATAACCACAATAAACAACTATTCATCCAAATAACATTGTTCATTAGTCTAGTGTAGGTTTGATTGTCAACAATAACATGCAAGTCAAAAGTCAGCGTCAGTGCATTAAAACGTCTTGTGTGTGTGTGTTGGCAGGCATATCACGGTCACCACCATGCTCTTGAGGTTCTGGTCCAGTCTCTGCTGGATCTGGACGTGAGGACGCCTCAGGGTCACACAGCTCTGAGTCTGGCTGCGTTTAAGGGTCACGTGGAGTGTGTGGATATTCTGATCAATCAGGGCGCGTCAATGCTGCTGAAGGACTACACACACAAGAGAAGCGCCTTACACTCCGCAGGTCAACACACACACACACACACACACACTACATTTTTGTAGAAACTGTGATACATTTTATTTTTCAGGATGAATAGAAAGTTCAAAAGAACAGCATTGTCTGAGACTGATGATACATGAGCTGATGTCAGGTCAGATCAGATTATGTGTGTTATTGTGTGTGTTTGCTTCTGTCCATCTGCAGCCATGAACGGTCACTCTGAGTGTCTGCGTCTGCTCATCCATAACGCCGATCAGCAAACAGCCGTCGATATACGTGATGGAAAGGGACAGTGAGTTTCAGAGCTTCTGTGTCTCTGCTATATGCTTGAATGCTGTCAGTCTGATGAATAGGGTAATTGTGTGGTGTTGTTGTCAGGACTCCTCTGATGTTGGCGGTTCTGGGCGGACACACAGACTGTGTGTATCTTCTGTTGAGTAAAGGAGCCATTGTGGAGGCCAGAGATACATTTGGCAGGACAGCCCTTCACCGCGGGGTCAGTCACACACATAAACACAAATGTTTCAATGGAGAAATATACCTTCATCTGCCTTTATATTTAGTTTCTATTTATTTTCGATTTCTCCTCTGTATTTTTCAGTTTTTATGGCTTTAATACAAGTTAAGGTCCATCGATGCAATTACATTAAATAAATGTATAAGTTAAATATATGTTTAAAAAAGTTTGTTATATATACAGGGCTCACCAACATTTTTTGCTCACCAGCCACTGTCACTACTAGTTTAATATCATCTCATAATTTGGCTACAGGTATATTAGGCTGCTGTCACTTTAAGACCTGATGCACGGATCCATTACACTGTTACACGTGCATTTTCTTTCTCAGCGGTTTACATTCACTGACATACTGACTGACTGTGTTTATGTGAATACTTGCCAAGACATTTTTACATTATTTATTTGAGTGTTTAAGCACAATAAGCAGCGAAAAATAACTAAATTTAGTACTGAGAGGTGGCTTTATGTGCCGCACTTTGAGTGTTTGTGCACAAAATTTGCAGGAATGCGTAAAATTAATCCCAATATGCACTGAAATTCAAGCCCTTTAACACCAACAAAATTCATCCGGAGCAAATGAAATGAGTGAGTGAGGGGAGGCGGGTTTGTGTGTAACTCGGTCGAAAAGATGAGAGAACGAGAAAGCGCAGTATCTTGTATCTATTCTGCGGAAAATGAGTATTGAAAGGGAAAAATATCGATACTGAAATATCTGAAAGACTTCCAATAGGGACATTCTAAAACGCTCAACGTGGCTTAATGTACCAAGAAATTATTCTAAAGTCCCCCTGTGGTGAAAATCAGGCTTTTAATGTTGTTTATATGTATATGTAGTGTTTTTAATATGCTTTAAGTGTAAATTCATAAGTCGACAGCATTGCTGAGTATATCCTCCTTAAAACTGCAGTGAACCAAAGACAGTCTCAAAAACACGAAATCGCTGGTGTTTCTGACGTCACAAACGACCTCGTAACCAATCAGATCAACGTGTGATCGTCAACCAGTGGATCTCTGAGCTGAGCGAGTGAGTGGAGGCGGGGCTCATTTGCATATTCATAGAACCGCGCATACTAGATGAGTTACATTCAAGCTATTTTAAGGCATTTATTCAAGGAAAAAAAGTTTAATTATGTCATTTTGGTGATCAAAGATGAGTTTTAAGGGATAGAATTATTGATTACAGGGGGACTTTAAAGACCAAACTCCATACAAATAAACACCATACAAATAAGGCATTCTATGTACAGAGTAGCAGATGAGCCCAGAATATGACGAAAGAAAGCAAGTTTGTGTCCAGCGTGTCACTTGACTAAGGTTGCGAGAGATAGCTTGTTGGAATATTTCTCTCTCTGTGTTAAAGCAACACCAAGTAACTTTTCCTCAGTGGTCGCCCTACAGGTTGGAAGCGGAATTGTCCATTACCGCTGTCGTAAATAATTTAGCCTACTGTCGCACGCGCACGCGCACGCTCGCTGTTTATCCAGCACCGGCTTTGGAATCAACAATGGCAGACATCCCAACCTGCAAGAAGTCATTTCAGGGAGGTATATCTTGGGGGGGGGTGGCGGGTTGACTAGCTTTCGTGAGGCACACACGCAAGGTCTCTCGCTCTCTCCCTCGCGCTATATATGTTATGCGCGCAGTATGTTCTGTCTCGCACGCGCGCTCTAGATTCCGGCAGATTTGAACTAATTTGCGGGCATCAGGGAGACGCTATAGACTTGGGATGTCTGCAATGGCCATAGACAATTTGAGGAAGTGGTGGGGGAAGTGACGTATGCCGTAAAGCAGTCGAGTTTTGTGGTTCTTTTTGTGCACGGTTTACTACCCGAAACCCGAAGTTACATAGTGCGAGTAAAAGCGATACAGACCACGTCAGGCAATGGCAGACGTGTCATTTAACCTATTGGAAGTCGATGTACCATCACAAGGGTCTTGGAAATATATTATGAAGGTTGAAAAGATCCATAGTGTTGCTTTAATGTCAATCTATCTAAACTAAGAGCTTCTCTCCTCTTGACTGTCGCAGGCAGTGATGGGTCACGAGGCGTGTGTGGAGGCGCTGCTGCAGCACGGGTCCAGTTTCGTGGTTCAGGACGGCAGGGGACGCTCTCCTCTACACCTGGCGGCTGCTTGCGGTCACGTCGGGGTTCTGAGGGCCCTTCTGAAGATCCAAAACGCCGTCCTCGTCCTCAAGGACAACTGTGGTTTCACACCGCTGCACTGGGCCTGTTATAACGGTAAACATGCCGCCATCCAATCACACTGATGCATTAAAGGAGTAGTTCACTTCAGAATCAAAATTTCCTGATAAATTACTCAGCCCCACGTCATCCAAGAGGTTCATGTCTTTCTTTCTTCAGTCGTAAAGAAATTAAGGTTTTTGAGGAAAACATTCCAGGATACACGATACCAGCTGAGGAATAAGAGTCTTATCTAGCCCAATGATCGGCCATTTTCTAAAAAAACAAACAAAACCATTAAATTATTTTATTTTATTTAGTTTTTTAACATGCGTGACCTTTCAACGTGATTACGTAATGTGTGTCGCATCACAGCTAGTGCAAGACGAGCATTTGTGGTTAAAAAGTATATAAATGTTTATTTATTTTAGAAAATGGCCGATGGGTTGGCTTGATAAGACTCTTATTCCTCAGCTGGGATCGTGTCGAGACTTTAAAGCTGCACTGAAACTGCAATTTGGACCTTCAACCCGTTGGACCCCATTATAGTCACTATATGGAGAAAAATCCTGGAATGTTTTCCTCAAAAACCTTAATTTCTTTTCGACTGAAGAAAGAAAGACATGAACCTCTTGGATGACGTGGGGGAGAGTACATTATCAGGAAATTTTAATTCTGAGGTGAACTACTCCTTTAAACTGATCGAAAGCGAGAGTAAAGACATTTAAAATGTTACAAAAGATTCGATTTCAAATTATTTATTTAAATAATGCCGGGCGGGAGTGGCTCAGTGGTTCATGTGGGTTGTCTACAAACCGGAAGGTTGGTGGTTCAATCCCCGGTTCCACCTGACCAAGTGTCGAGGTGTCCATGAGCAAGACACCTAACCCCAGCTGCTCCCGACGAGCTGGATGGCGCCTTGCTGTCGGTGTATGAATGAGTGAGTGAATGGGTGAATATGAGGCAAACTGTAAAGCACTTTGGTCGCCATTGGGTCTGTGAAAGCGCTATATAAATGCAGCGCTTTTATATAGCGCTGGTAAAGACATTTACCATTTTTACCATTTAAAAGGGACAGTGCATATTAATGTACATCTTAGTTTTTCAGCAATGTAAATATGCCAGAATTAGCCCAAAGGCTATTTTACATCTGCAGTCTCCCGTCAGGTCATCACAGTACAAAGTAACACAGCTACATTTTAATTATGTTAAAGTGCGATTTAATGCAGTAAAGTGCTGGATCTGGTATGGTATACATACATATACTTAAACAATACAACAGTGAACAAACCCATACACATAAAATACAACAGACCGCTTGTGGTCACAAATTTGATGTTCAAATAAATGCTGTTCTTTTGAGCTTTCTATTCATGAAAGAGTCCTGTTGTGTCGATCTCAGGTCACGACGCGTGTGTGGAGTTGCTCTTGGAGCAGGACGTGTTTCGGCAGATGGAGGGAAACTCCTTCAGTCCGCTGCACTGCGCCGTGTAAGAAACACTCATGATCTGCTTCCTCCTGGATGAAGACGTGCATCTGAAAGCATCACATCTCTCCTCTCTCTCTCTGTGTTTCAGTATTAATGATCATGAATCTGCAGCTGAGATGCTGATTGAGACTTTAGGTCCAGCAATCGTGAACGCCACAGACTCACAGTCCAGGTAAGAACAGGCTTTCTATAGGATCAGCACTGCTTTATATTGTGTAGTTCATGTGTTCTGTGTCCCGTAGGACGCCGCTGCACGCCGCCGCTTACACTGATCACGTGGAGTGTTTGCAGCTTCTGCTGGGTCACAACGCTCAGGTCAACTCCATCGACATGCTGGGGAGAACACCACTCATGATGGCGGCCGAGAACGGGCAAACCAACGCCGTAGGTGAGACTCACAAAATACAAGCATGTTTCGGTAATGCTTCCTTTTACAGTCATATACATACTATGTACTACTTATAGTAATTACAATTACTGGGTAATAACTAGGTACTAACCCTGAACCTACCCCTAAACCATGTACTTACCTTATATTAGCCAGTACTTTCTAGGTAAGCACACGAAAGTACTGTACTGTAAAAGGAAGCGTTACCCATTTTTCTTCAGTTACGAAGAATTCAGAGATTAAACCGCAAATCGGCACAAGTAACAAATGTTTCAAATAAAGTAAATTTTTTTTAGTTTAAATACACTACCATTCAAAAGCTTGGGATCTGTAACATTTGTAATATTTCCTGTGATCAAAGATGAATTTTCAGCATCATTACTCCAGTCTTCAGTGTCACATGATCCTTCAGAAATCACTCTAATATGAAAATGAAAAATAAAATGGCTTAAAAAATAATAATAATAATAATAATTCTAATATGCTGATTTGCTTCTTAAAAAACATTTCTGAATATTAGCTGTGTTGGCAAAAAGTTTTTTCAGGATTCTTTGATGAATAGAAAAGAACTATAAATGTAATAGTTGAAAAGTGTGGAAATAATGTTTTATATTATTATAAATGTATTTACAGTCTCTTTTGGTCAATTTAATGCATCCTTGCTGAATAAAATAATATTGAATAAAAATATTTTCAACCCTAAACATTTAAACACTAGTCTATCTCTTTTCACAGACTTGTTTTCTATTTATTAACTGTCAAATGCGATAGAAATGTAACGATTAGTTACTTGTACTTGTAATAATGTGAAGTTACTTTTGTAAACAACATTCCCCAATGCTGCCGAACAGTGTTATTAAAGCTGGACACAAAAATTACCCAAGTAGATAAGTGTTATTTTAAAATAATAATAATAATAATAATTATTATTATACCACTATACCAGTAGCTTTTATTTTTTTATGTTTTTAGTTTTCATTTTAATTTTAGTCTGTTTTAATAACGGTTTTGTCAGTTTTTATTTATTTATTTGAATTTCAGCTGCATTGCAAACTTTTGAATTTCATTCATTTCATAAGGCTTTTCATCTAATTTCATTTTATTTCTTTATTTAATTTATGAGTTGCTGTGGATCAAGAGGGCGATTGAGTTTCTGAATCATTAAACCAGATGTGCTGTTATCGTGGAAGCGGCTGTAAATGTGTCCACACGCTGGGCTGGATGTGTGGATGCTGATATGATTGTGGTGTGTGTGTGTGTTGTTTCTGCAGAGGTGCTCGTGAGCAGCGCAAAAGCAGACTTCACATTACAGGACGCGCACAGAAACACAGCAATGCATCTGGCCTGCAGTAAGGTACAAACTCCACGATGAATACTGACTTTACATGAGAGTCCAGCATCTAAGATCAGCTTACTAAGACATATTACTGGCAGATATAGAATAACAGCTGACTTAAAGAAGTCTGTTATAATGTTATAAAGATCTCATAGATTTACATTGCAAACTATTACAGAATTTCGTCTTGCTTTTGACATATATAATCAACAAATGCACCAAGTTTTAGATTTTTGCTCAGTTTGGGCCTCTGAATATCAGACTATAAGAGCCAAAAAGACGTAAAATGTATCAAATGTGATATCAATGGATCAGTTAAAAAATGAGATTTTTTAATTTTTAATTTTGTTAGGGTTAATTACCACGATCCTTCAAAGGCTTTTTTTTGTTCAACTCTACAGTAGTATCTAGCATGTCTTCTACAGCCTTGCGTGCGGTCGTACTTTGGAAATGCAAATCTAGTTTGACTTGTATTGTTTCTGTTTGCAGGGGCATGAAACCAGTGCCTTGTTAATTCTTGAGAAGGTCACGGACAGAAACCTCATCAACTGCACGAACGCAGCGCTGCAGACGTAAGTTTGTTCTCTTCACGCATGTTCTCCTCCTCTTCATCTCAAGATTAAAGAGAGCCGCTTCTCTCTCTCGTGTCTCAGGCCGCTTCACGTCGCGGCTCGTAACGGGCTCACGGTGGTCGTGCAGGAGCTGCTGGGTAAAGGAGCCAGTGTCCTCGCCGTGGATGAAAACGGTGAGCGTTTAAAGTGTTTTAAAACATCAAAGCAGAATTATTATTATTATAGATGACTAAAAAAGTAATGCCATAAAAGAAATACTCGCATAAAAACTTCCCAAGGCAACATTCTCATTTTTGTTTAGTTTAACTGTCACTAATATTGAAATAAAAATCAATAAAAAAACAATAGACATTTAAAAATCAAATAAAAATGATAAAAGCACTTCTTCTTTTTTTTTTTTTACTTTTAACTAAAATTAAAATGAAGACAAATTCAAATTATTAATAAAAACTCTCAATGGTACTAAAATAACTTACTAAATAAAAGTATTAATTCCTTATAAGTATTAATAATAACTTATTAAGGATGGATAAAATGTATCAAAAGTGACAGTAAATTCAGCTTTGCATCAAAGGAATTTACATTTATAATGATAACATTTATAAAATTATAAAATTTACCAATTATAAAAATATGGGTAAATTCCAGGTAAACGGATCTGCTGATAATATAATTTCCTTGCAATAAATTTGCATCATGCTAATTTCCATCAGCACAAAATTTGCATTACACTTGCTGTGAATGGTTACAAGCACAAGTTGTAACATGTTTGTTTTGAACACGTAACGTGTTATATTATTGCTGTATATAACTGCCATATGGACATTATTTTGACATGCTCATGTATATAAATATATGCTATACAAATAAACATGAATTGAATTGAATCAAATGTGTTTCCCAGGTTACACTCCAGCTTTGTCTTGTGCCCCGAACAAAGACGTGGCCGACTGTTTGTCGCTGATACTCTCCACCATGATGCCCGTCTCTCCCAGCAGTCCCGGCACCATATCAAGCCTCACGTTTACCACCATTAACCATTACTCCAGCCCATCCAAGACCGTGACCTTTGACCCTTTACCCATGCTGCGTCCCGAGCACGTCTCCTACCGTAAATTCAACAGCTTGGGTCGCGAGGACGGCCTCATAGTCCCCGACGATGAACTCAATGATTCAGACTCGGAAACGTACTGACGACACACTCTGTCCCGCCCCTCAGTGTCTTAAACCCTCGCCTCATTGGCCGAATGGTGACTATGCTAATTAGGGTCGTCCCTCAATGACCGGTGCGTCCGAAAGTCTCAGGAGAAAACGGAAAAACAGGAAAATAAGTGGCCAACACTGCAGTTTAACCAGTCTATTTCTGTTTCTTCTCTACAATGTCAATGTTTAAACTCTCAAGCATCTCTAATACGCTTTATTTAAAGCCAAATTCTTTATCAGAAGAAATGGCCTGTTGTTGCCAGCATTCATGTGAAACGTGAGAAGGCAATGGATTGTTGTCACTGCAGAAGACGTCAGGGACCAAGAGCTGCAGACTTTTCCTCCAGCTTTACTTTTAATCCCCGTTTGTGCATGAAGACTGACTTTAGGTTTGCATCATCATGGATTATTTATTATTAAAAAACATGAAGACTTTCAGGATCAAACTGAGTATTTATTCCTCTGCTGTTGTGAGGAATTACAGCGTTCTTCCTGGTGTGTGTGTGTGTGTGTGTGTGTGATTGTAAATTCGAATGGTTGTGTGTGTGTGTGACTATTTTATAATTCAAATACAATGAAAAGATCAAGTGTGTGACTTGACCTTTTGGTACATTGTTAATAACTATTAATGATTCTAAATAAATCTTTCACCATAAGATTCTAGTGTCTTTTTATTACAGAAACTTGGCAAATGTTTAAAAATGATATAAAATGATGTATTATATTGACATTGTGTGTGTTTAAAAAAAAAAACATATATAAGAACATAAGTTAGTCTGCATACAAGAAAACCTTTTATTTCTCCCAATCCCTGGCCTACATGTATTCTTGTTTGAAAAGCTGTTTCACTTGGATATGCGGCACAATAGTGAAAAACGACTTGACTTCTCAACTTTGATTTCATGCCGACTTTAACCACTAGTCTCTTCAGCTTTAACTGTTAATTCAACTCTTTCTAATGATTTACTCACCCTGATGTGTGGCAAAGAGGAAGATTTTCAGCCATTTAATTTGGGTCTGTTTCTCACATAAAGCAATTGTATGACTTAAGATAACTTGAAATATAGCATAAGACTATTTCTATAAAAAAAATACTTTATTTCGGTGTCCTCAGCTTCCAGTTATTTTAAACTACAAAACATCTTATGCTGCTTGATATTGCAAACTAGTATTTATTATCATTTTATTTTAATGTTTTGTCATAATTATAAACACTGGTTTGTAGTAGTTTTTCCATTTACTGCACGTTGTTATTTTAGTTATTCACCTATAGCGGCTAATGAATCACAAGTCTCGCACATTCACAGAATATAACGTACTTCCACGTAGCAAAATAAGGTGATACAAGAGCATAAATATTCTTAAAAACAGTGTTTGACAGGGAAAAAAACATATAGGCTTGGAATGAGGTTTTATTAAAAAGTTATGACAGAATTTTCCATTTTTGGGTGAAGAAATGCAGTTCAATAAGATGAAATGATCTAATTCATGTTATTTGTAGTGTACTATAATTAGTGTCCTATGAAAGTTTTAATCATTGTCCTTCTCATAGTGTCTCCCATACAGCACAGCCGTTACGAGTCCAGCGCTCATTCCCGTCCGGCTCATGTAAAAGCGGTTTCCTCTCTCCCAACCAGAATGATCCGGAATATCCAGAGCCATCCCATTACCCAGAATTCCAGGGAACACATGTCGAGTCGTAAAGGTCCCCGTCAGCCTGAAGTCCACCGGTGTACGAGCGTGTTCGGTTTCTTCTCCGCAGCTGCTGTGATGTTCACCTGTGCACTTCACCAGAGCGCAAACCTCCAGGTAATACGTCCCGTGCACCGCATGGAGGCCGTTGAAGACGCCCAGAGCGTAAAACTCATGCGTGTCGGACCTCCGGAACAGCAGGTGGCAGCAGACAGAGCCACTACAAATGCTAATGTTCCCTTTACTGCCTCGCAAAGGGACCAAAGTGAAATTATCATACATCATGATGGAGGTAAAGGTTGTAGATGTAGGTTCTTGTGCACATTTAGAGTCCGTTTGGCAGTATTTTACACTATCATCTGGGTCAAAGCTACTTGTAGGCCAAAAATGCATCTTTTCTGGTTCTTCTGCCCTCAGTTTCTCTTTTGGATACCCAGAAAATGGCATCAGTGTAGGCCATGCTGCATCCCCAATAAAAGCTGGATCCAAAACTGGCACTCTACGCACCAGCAATTTCCCAGAATCCCCCTTCATATCGTGATGAATGAGCGAATCCCATGGCGTGAAGATGCCGCTGCCGGTTATGCCGTACTGAGCGGCTCGGATGTTGGCGGCCAGCAGCGTGACGCCCGTCGCGTGCGAGAACGAGCGCTGAAACTGTACGGCGGCCAGCAGGGGGAGCTGGTTCATCCACGCGGTGGGATACACGATCTGCCGGACGCCCATGTCCTTTACTAGAGTCAACGCCGGGTCACGGAACAGAATGTCGAAGCACGTAAACACCCCGAATAAGCCTGCAAACGGTGTGGTGAAAGTGACGTACTCGCACTCTGGTGGAGCGTCAAATGCCGCCTCAAAGTACAAGTTCTGTTTGTGATATCGGGCCACGATGACGCCCTGGTCACTGAACACCACGTTTGTGTTGAACTGGTACTGGCCGTCCGCAGGACAGCGAGGGTCGGCGGTTCGGTTACAGCTCTGACGGGACGGCATGTTGGCCACCACGAAGAGACGGTTCTTATGAGCCATACAGCTGAGGCTTTGGAGGACCTGAGAAAGAAACAACTGTGAAAAAAGTGGCTCTAAAACTGGCACTCATCATGTCTAAATAATACTTAAAAAGGGTGGTAAATATCAGTTTTGTACCTCAGTGTCTGGAAATCTGTGTGGATCAGCACATGGACTCCATGTGACCTCTTGAGGGTCGGGAACGGTCTCTAGATAACCAGCGATAGAAGCTCTGGTGAAGTTGAACCCATGGATGGCGTCTTCTGGAAACACAATGATCTGGGCACCCTGTTTAATACATGATATATAAACGTTAAGGGTCCTGTAGACAACATTTAGGAATGTCTGTGTATCCACAGTTAAAAGACTTAATGAACATGAATTTTTATAGTTTAATACAATCCTTTCACATTAGCACCCCTTACAGTAGCACTATAACTTTTAGGTACCCATTTACCATTCATAGTGCTTCCGAAATGTTATTGCTGGTTATTGTTGTAGGGGTTATAAAAACCCTGATTTGGTTCCATGCCATTTTAAGGGTAGTTTTATCTTAAAAATGAGATCAGAAGCATATGTGCAAAGTGTTTGTGAAATAACCATTTGACAAAACAATTACAAAGCACTGAGAGATGTTTATCACTATAAACATTTTCTGGCATTATTATTATGCATAGTTTGCATATGGTACGTGTTTAAATTATTATTGCATTCCTTTTGTCATGATTTGATCAGTATTTGAAGCTCTCACACACACTTTCTGTCAGTGTACCTGCTGTGCTGCCAGCACTGTCTGCTCTTCAAACACACGCAGGTTCTGCTTCATGTGCTCCAGGGCGGGTCTCCGGTCCAGCGGGACTCTGGGGTTCGGGTTCAGCCGCACTCGGTGCTCATACACCGCCGCCACATAGGACGGATGATCCGCGGCGAGGATGAGGTTCAGTCCGCTCAAACAGAGCACAAACCCGGCGAGCCCGAGCGCCATGAGGAGTGTGGGTCAGTCGGTCATGAGCTCAAAAGTGAGTCCAAAAGTTCAGGTTAATCATTGCAAAATCTTTCATGGATTTAAGAGGTCTTATTATCGTGGTTAAAAACAATTTGACATAGGCTAAACATGAGGTGCATTAGTAAGGTAAACAATGGGACGTTTTCTAAAGTTAGAAACGTGTCGCTCCCTGCTTATGTATATCTCTTCGGATAATTTGCATTAGCTTTTCCCTATAAAAATATATTTGCATGCACTTCCATTAAAAAATATATTTATAATAAACAATAGCACATTGTTGTTAATCGTCTTCCGGGTGACAGTACGTCACTCGTAATCCGCAATTCTATTGGTTGGCATGAGCTCAATTTTTGTCATTTGTCGGAAAGATCAAGTGGGAAGCTTGGGATTTTCTTCAAACCACGATCTTTACGAGTTTGGGGTCGTGTCAATGAGATGGCGGAATATCTGTATTTATCTGAGTGAAGTAATAATTGCCGGCTACAAAATATGATAGCATTGTAATATAACAATATAATAAGCAACGATCAAGTTTACAATGGCTTCATAAATTAATTAAAGACCTAAAAAATCAAGATATGCACATATTTGCTCTTCATTTTCTAGAAATAGAGTTAAGCCTTGCTGTATTTTTGTGTAGTTATTTAAGAGAAGGTACACCACCATCTTACTCTGACGAAAGTGAGAACACGACTTCTTCTCACGTCGTAAAACTTACCAGGAGGACTTGAATGTTTTTTGGCATGTGGAGGACTTGACCCTAGATGATGAGATTCAAACAAATTTTAATGAACTCAAATAAAGACAATGGTGCCAGTATTGTACAGAGTGAGACCATGCAGATCGGTTGTTGAGGAAATAGGTAAATTATTATTAGAAATCAGACACCATGAAGCCCAAAATACACTTTGGTTTTGACCTGTATGTGTACAGTGCTAGTACATTTTTGTCACCACCAGCATATGTGCATACTGTCAGTGCTGGGTAATTACATAATCAGATTACAAAAATGAAGTATTTGTAAATTGTATTTAGATTATATTGCATTTTAAAATACTCATTATCAGAGTACAGTTACTTTTCTATTGATTACATGAGTACATGTTATCCTCACAAAGTCAGTAAATTATTCATAATTAATTGATTCTACCTCTTTGTTATATTTTTTAATTTCCTGTCTATAAAAGCCTACTACTTATATACTGTACGTTCAGAAGATCTTCCAGGTTTGTGGAATTACACACACAGACCAGCCACTAGTCATGTGACTATCACTGAAAACTGAGACCCACAGCATTTGATCACTGGATTTACAGCAATCATTTCATTTTAAAGAAGTGTTTTCTCAACATTGCAACATTGCATATTTAATCAAACTGATCTTGACTGATGTTGTCATCCAGGGCAGGGGTATCGCTTATTTGCTGTCGTTGAAATGCTTTAAAAAGCTTTGACTTTCTGCACAAGATTAAACTCTGGTGTTCGCCTTCCTTTGCCGATTGACTGCAGCTTTTCTTTAAAAGTAAATCTTGGAAACGGGGTGAATAATATATTAGCAACGATGTCCTCCTCATTAATGTTGGTTGCTGTTTCCATGGCAAATAGTGAGCTATTTTATCAGGGTTTTTTTCTCCAAATGGTGTTCCCCAGCGTGCTGGCATCATAAACTTAGTGATAGCAAGCCCCACCCATTTAGAATGACGATATGATTGGTCAATTTTCCTGTCATTTGAAATTCGTCTCTGTTGACTTGCTAGGGCTTAGCCCTCTGTTATTTCACAGCTGGACCACCAATCACAGAGCTGAAAGCGTTAGGCGGAAAAATCCTAATATGGAGAAAATGGACGTCTACACAACACAAACTGAATAGGGGTTATTTACTCAAAAAGATTTAGATGTTTATTGTCAAATTAAAAATTCCTAAAATAACATTAGAACTGGGAATGCACGATACATCGGCCACCATATCGGTATCGGCCGATATATGATCATTTTTAATGTTATCGTTATCGGCCCGATAAGAAAATGTAGTCGATATATTAAAGGGGTCATGAACTGGCTTTTTAAATTGTTTTATATTGTTGTCTGAGGTAAACTTATAACGTTCGCTTGGTTTTTACATTCAAAAACATCCAAATGAATAAGTAATAGGCTATTTTCTACCCTAGTTTTGAGCCTAGCTCAAAAACGCTCGGTTTTTATGGGCGTCTCGCATTGAAGTCTTGGAAGTAAACGCCCACTGCTGTGAGTGGATAACAGTTTTGCATATTATAATGAGTTTCGTGTAATGCGCGAATCGGTGGGCGGGGCTAAACCGGCCGTGTTGAATTAGGCGTTGATCTTCTTCTGCGGGGGTGGTGTTTTATCCTCTTTGTCGTCATAGTTCCCCACTTTGAAAAACGAGTCGTTTGCTGAGCCTGGTGTCAATAAAAGCTTTTATTGGACTAACAAGGACGTTTTCAGTTCCGAAACTTACAGGATATTCTTATAATTTGATGACCTCTTATATGTCAAAAGCTCAAGGAAAATTTGATTTCTCAGTTCATCACCCCTTTAAAGCTGATGAATAGTGGATTATTTAGCTTCATCTGAGACACTTTAGATGCGTTCTGTTCGCCACTTCGTAAAAGGAAAATACAGTTAAGTGCAACATGTGCAAGGTGTTTTATGTAAACTTTTATGTGCATGTGTCATATAGGCTACATAAAATTATAATGAGAACATTATAATTGTGTACTCAGGACATGGCTTTTAATGGTGCGAGACTTTTGGTTTTGTAATCAGGCTCTCAAAAACTATAAAAAAAGGATTTAGGTTTTTCAGCCAATATATCGGTTATCGGCTTTCAAATATAAAGAATTATCGGTATCGGCCAACATTTTCATATTGGTGCATCTCTAATTAGAACTGATGACTTTTTAATAAAAACGTTTAAAAGTTTGTAAATATATATTTTTTACAATAGTTTAGGCCCTCTCTGACGGTTCCCCTCTGGTCGCTTCCCATCGGCCACGTCAAGAGAGGTTTCAACTAAATTGCATTTATAGCTTCTTTAGCTACCAGAGCAATGGTGTCTGACTGCACGATATGGGAACCATACAGCTCGGCCAGCCATTTTACTCTCCTGCACGGGATGGTAAACTGACCAAATGAAATTTGGCAGGTTTCCTTATGCTTACAACAACAAACGAGGGGGAAAAAACACAAAGCTGCTGCAGAGCGGAAAACAGTCGGTTGAAACCAGTCTGAATGTTTTCTCAGCAGTTTGTTTAAATATGCAGGGCCTCCCCACCCGAGTCTTGGTTCTTCCTCCTCTTCTTAGGGAGTTTTCCTTCCCACTGTCTCCTTTGGCTTATTCAAGGGGCAAAAAGCACTTTTCTTTGTCTTAATCTGTTCTATTAAGATCATTGACTATGTATGTAACAGATTTCATGAGCACCATTGTTACAACTTATCCAAGTAAACAGCTACATTGAGAGATTCAGAAAGAGTCCCACTGTTGTTTAAACAGAATTAATGAACAACCTAAGAACAATAAAACGCTGTGTGTTGACCTTCATAAATATAACAGGTATGATATGCAAACTTTCTTCCTACCGCAAGTTCCACATTGACATATAGTCCATATTAGTAGCCAACCTATTAACCAATACCTAATAGGGACAGACAGAACCTCTTCTAGCTTATGTAAAACTTCACACCGCCTCAAAGTCAAAGACTTCCCTGAATATCTTGAAAGTAAATACAGTATGTATTATATTGCTGGTTGAAAAACCAAACTGATGTGAAAGACTACCGTTTCTTCACATCAGGGTCCTATTGTTTAAATGCATAAATAAAAACTACAAATAAAAACTAAAATCAAAGAAAATTAATCCGATTTTTTGTTCCCAAATATGCTATAAAAGTTCAATAACTCCAGATTCAAGTGTGAATCTCTTTCTCTATGACTTGCTTTCTGCTGTGGAACACAAAAAGTGTTTCTCAATTATTATTTTTTTGCCAATACAGTGAAAGTCAATGCAATCCAGTGTTCTCCAAGGTATATATTTTTGGTGTTTCACAGAAGAACGTTTTGGAGGTACATGAGGGTGAGTAAATGATAACCGATTTTTCATTTTGGGATGGACAATCCCTAAGAGGAAGAGACTGACATAATCATAATTAATGCATTCCCTTCCATCCTGTGGTAATAGCACATCTCCGCCTCTAACGAGGGTGTAAAGTGTAATATTCAAATAAAAGCTCAACTCTGGCGTTCACATTATCATCCTTCAAGAGAATCGACAGACACAGAGAACAATCATCCGTGGCAATCGGTAAATATGACTATTTTATATATACAGGTTATGTTTTATAGGCGATCATGTTAGATGCAGGCAATTTTGGGATGTGTCTTAGTTAGTTAGAAAATATTAATAAATAGAATATGGATTTTAAAAGGTTGAATTTTATCATTTTAATTCATTGTTTTCCTCATCTAGACAGTGACCTGAATATGGCTTCCAAAACTGAAGTACACTACTACTACTGAGATGTAATGATAGCAAGCTATGGTTTTACCAAAGCCGCCGACAACACCAGCACATCCACCGCCAACCTAACCAGCACCACCAACGCCACCACCCTAGCCAGCACTTTCACCACCACCCTAGCCAGCACTTTCACCACCACCAACGGCACCAACAGCACTGCGGCATCTCTTTCACCCGTGGGGATGGTGGGGCTGCCTGGACTTCTGATCTACACGCTCACCTCCACTGCGCTTCTCAAACTCTTCCAGCTCATCTGATCATCAACTCCATCACACGGCTAAACCTACGGGGTGCACTTTGCTTTCTGGGATGCAGATGTCTTTTAGAAATTAATGTCAAACTGTGTCAGATTGATGCTTGTTTTGCAGATACTTACTGCTTTAATAATTATGTTATTAAAATATATTAAAAAAAAATGTATGATCGTATGAAGGCTTCATATTAAGAAT